TGGTTTGAACACTTGAACTCCTGTCCTTGGAGGTGCTCAAGGCCAGGCTGGGCAGGGTTGGACCTGGCCTAGTGGAAGGTGGCCCTGCCCATGGCAGGGGGTTGGAACTGTGTGGATTTTAAGCTCCCTCCCAACCCAACCCATTCCATGATTCTACATTCCCCTGACTGCAGCCAAACCAAGAAGGGGCAAGTCCTGGAAACAGGAAAGGCAGCCTAATTACAGGGAATTAATTTAATTTGCACTGGGATCTCATCCCTGAGTGGTCTGGGATCTCACACAAATCCCAGTGAGGGCAAGTCCACCAAGCTCTGAGGGTCTGGGGGATTTAAGGAAGGTCCTGCCTTGGGGAACTCTGAAGGAAACAGGAATTTTGTGGCTGTACTTGCACACAAACCTGCCAGAGCTTTATCATCTGCTTGACTGGAGTGGGAGGAAATTGCTGCAGTGTGACACTGCTCAACTCTTCCACTCAATTAACGCACAGCCTTAATGAGGCCTGACTGGTTCTCCATGGCACAGAGACAGGGATGTGATACATCCCACTCTTGCACAACTTCCAACAGAGTTTTAGAGCATCTTACAAGCATTAAACTGGGCTTTATAAAACCAGGCTGTTATCAGGCAGAAATCCAACAGCACAGGAAGAGTGACTTGCTCAACCACAAGACAAAATGCCAGGGCAGAGTAGAGAAAAGAGCCCAGAAATCATAATTTTGACTGAAAAAAACCCTTGTCTCCTCCCCTCCAGCAGAGAGCCCACAGCTGTGGCAGCTGGAACTTACTCTGGAGGTGCCATTTTGCTGAGGTCAACGTCCTTCAGGAAGTCACTGTGCAGGGCCTGCTCTGCTGTGCAGCGTTTGCCAGGGTCCAGAGTCAGCATGTGGTCCAGCAGGTCCAGAGCAGACGAGGGAATGCTGGGGAGAGAGTGGGAAACACGGAGGAGTCAAGGGAGAACACGTGGAGAAGCCACTTCCAGAGAGAGACCCCTCAGGCCTGACAGGAATCCACACAGCCCAAGTTTATTCCTCGTGATGCAGCAGCTGGGGCTGTGTCAGGGAGGGTCAGGTTGGATCTCAGGGAAAGGTTCTTCCCCCAGAGGCTGGTTGGCACTGACCAGGCTCCCCAGGGCAGTGGGCACGGCCCCAAGGCTGCCAGAGCTCCAGGAGGGTTTGGACAATGCTCTGAGGGACAGGGGGGGATTGTTGGGGTGTCCTGGGCAGGACCAGGAGCTGGACTGGATGATCCCTGGGGGTCCCTTCCAGCTCATGATATTCCATGATATTTTCACTTTAATTTTTGCCATTTATGAAAACCAACTGGGTTACAAATCCCAGAATTAGACTCTCCCCCAGAGAACATTCCCCTGAAGTCAGACCATGAGGGTGCCCCACTGCCAGGGGTGCTCCCACAGGGGATCCCTCCGAAGGCACCTGAGCCACATCAGCTTCTTAGGGAGCAAACAGTGACCCCATCCCAGCCTTCCCCAGGGGGGAGAAGCTCCACAAACCACATCCAAAGGAGAAGAGGGGAGTCACAGAGGCCATGACCCCCCCCCAGACCACTCACAAGGAGAACTCCTCACGCAGGCGCCGGCGGTATTGCTTCTTGGGCTTCATAGTGTTGAAGTAGGGCAGCTTGATCACATCTGGCCACACAGCTGGGCAGGGGCTCCCACAGAGCCGGCTGGGGAGGCAGGAGAGCAGGGTCAGGCAGGTGGCACACAGGGGAAAAGCCCCCAACCCCAGAGAAAAGCTCCTTCCTGAGCAACTCACTGTGGCAATAACCTCGGTGAAGTGTTAAGGAAGGAGGTATCAGGAGGAGGGGAATGCTGAGCTTATAAACCACCCAACACAGTGAATTTTTCTTTTTCTTACTGTAAATGTTAACATTTTTAAATTTCTTACTTAGATTTTAAAGATTTACGAACTTTTATTATCTTTACTACACAGGTGGGGAGGTCCTGGCACAGGTTGCCCAGAGAAGCTGTGGCTGCCCCTGGATCCCTGGAAGTGTCCAAGGCCAGGTTGGACAGAGCTTGGAGCAACCTGGGCTAGTGGAAGGTGTCCCTGCCCGTGGCAGGGGGTGGGATTGGATGAGATTTAAGGCCCCTCCCAACACAAACCAGTCTGTGATTCTAATTTTCAGCGTGAGATGTACTTTAGGTTCATGATTTTTGCACTCAGCTCACAGTGGGCACATAAATGAAAAGCCACACACCTGATGGGGGTGTGGACACCTGACTATTCCCCCCTTGCAGTTCCAGGCATTTCTGGCCCTGTTTTGCAGGCAGGGGGAGAGAACAAGGGCTCCTCTAACACACAGCCTGTGTGCACGAGCAGCTCCTGCAGCGCCTCCTCTCATAGACATGCATGTGCAATGCTTTACCTGATTAATTCAAGCTGAGCCAGTTCCAGATTGGCTTGAAAAATAGGCTTCTTTGTAAACAGTTCCCCGAGGATACAGCTGGAAAGAGGAAAAGCAAGAGGTCACGACAGCAAACCCTTGGGAGGAGCGTTTGAACAGCGCCGGGTTTCTGCTTTGCCCGAGGAGGGTGATTTGCATCAGGGCTTGTAGTTGAGCACTGACAGACTGACCTGTGTGTACAGAACCCCCGTGCTGGGCTCCTGGGGAATCACCTCCCCTGCAAGTGGCTGCTTAATGCAGGAAGCCCTTG